AGACAAACGCTGAGCTCTGCACTGACCCCCCAACCCCCCGAAGTCAGGACCCACACCCACCATTACGCAATGCACTTAGCTGCCCACGTAGGAACGAAAAGATAACTGTTCCACTCATTCTCCCGCTTCGCCGTTCCATAGGGGACAATCAAGCGCGCTTTCCCTGGTGGCCCAGGGAAAACACCCTCCTGCTGGCGTTAAGAAATGGACCAAAAGGTATGCTGGTTAACGCACAAGCCTCAGGTGGAAATGGAATTTACCTTATTCTTCGTTTTTTTGAGCGGATGAAATCTACACACTCTGTTTGCCGCAGCTGGAGTATGCAGTGGGACCGCGATCAATAAGCTCCTGCCTAACCTCACCCATCCCCAGTTCAAAGCGTTCTCACCCAAACACTGCCTCAGCACATCACCAAGTAGCTGGGCTAACAGGGCGACCACGCACTATGCCACACGAGCTAATCTTTTTTTGTTATTGTTCAATAGATGATCAGGGTTTCACCAATGTTGTCCAGATCTTGGTCTTTGAACTCTGACCTGGTATGATACTGACCAACACCCTCAATTGAGCCTCAACCAAAGTGGCTGGGATTCAGTCGTGAGCCCTTGCGCCCAGCAGGTGTGGCCGGACAAATCATATAATCTTATTTCACAGCCATTACGGAAGATAGAAAAGACCTAAACGGACGTGAAAGCAAAATACACATTAAAAGTTGACGTTTCGAGCTTCCGAGCTCTGAGCACTTCCATTGAACGAGGGACTGCCAGGCCGGGCGCGGTGGCTCAAGCCTGTAATCACCCAGCACCTAAATTGGGAGAAGCGAGGCGGGCGGATCCAAGGGTCAGGAGATCCGAGACATCCTGGCTAACACAGGTGGAAAACGATAACAATCTACTAAAAAAATTACAGGAGAACCCTACGCCCCGGCAAAAAAAAAAAAACAAAAGCGAAGGTGGCGGCACCGATAGATCACAGCTAACTAGAAAGAAGAGAAAACTGGAGGCAGGAAAATGGATAGAAAGAGAGGACGAGCTAATTAGCGTGAGATAAAAAAAAAAAAAGAGAATTACAGCCATGACATCCAGCATGAGCGAAAGAGCGAGATCAGTCTCAAAAAAAAAAACGAGGAATAAAAAAGCAAGGCGGCGTGGTGGAAATAAAGATATAAAAAAAAGAGAAATAATAGAGGGGACCAGAGTGAGCAGAAAAAGGATAACAAGCGCCTAGGTCAGAGATCGAAACCATCCCTACTACAACAGGGAAGACCTCCGTTACTACTAAAATATCACAAAAAATTAGCTGGGCGTGGTGCGGGTGCCTGTAGTCCCACTGCTTGGGAAGGCCTGAGGCAGGAGATATGGGCGTGACGTAAAGCCAGGAGTTTGAGTGAGCTGAGATCGTGCCACTGCACTCAACCCTGCAGGACAGAGCAAGACTCTTGTCTCCAAAAAAAAAAAAGAAAAAAAGAAAAGAGAGTGAAGGACTGCCAGTCAGAGTCTGTCCGACAATAACTGGGGGTCGCCGCAGGACCTTTTCAGCATAACTCTTTACTATTACTTATCATATGCCGCTATACTTTTTGGTCTTAAAGGCAGGGGCTACTATGTTGCCCAGGCTGGAGGTGCGGTGCTATTCACCAGGTGCAATACAGCATACTAACAGCCTCTTAACTCCCAGCCGCCCAGGCAATCCTCCTGCCCTCAGCAAAAATAAAAACATAATAAAGAATATAATATAAAATGGAAAATCGGGCACATAGCAAAAAAGATAAAAACACTCAGGTGGAATCCCACCAAACCAGCTCGGCTCCACGCAAGATTGCCTAGGAGAATTAAAAAGAAAAGCAGAAAAAAAAGAAAGCCACTGGTGCCTGGCTCTTGCTTTTTTTTATCTAGCATTTCATGTGGTTTTTGTTTTTTTTTTTTTTGGCAATGGTCTTGTCTGGTCACCCGGCTAGAGTGCAGTGGTGGCCACTAGCTCACTGCAACTTCTGCTCACTGGGTTTCCAGCAATTCTCGTGGCTTAAGCCCCACTCCCACCCGCCCTGATATCTATTCTAAATCTACAAAACCGTTAGCCTGGATGTGGGTTGGTGGGAACCTATATTTTCGGCATACATCCGGGAGCTGCAGTGGGAGGAATTATTGAAAATAGAGAAGAAAAGAACAGAGAGACCTGATGAGATAGAGATAGATAGAACTGCACTCAGCCTACGGGTGAACAGATGAAGAGAGGAGGAGAGAAGAGGAAAAAAAGAGAGAGGGAGGAGCGGAGAGGAGGAGGAAAAACAGGGGAAGAGGAAGAGAAAGAAAGGAAAAAAAAAAAAAAAAAAAAAAAAAAAAGAAAAAGAAAAAAAAAAAAGAGGAAAAAAAAAAAAAAGAAGAAAAGAAAAAAAAAAAAAAAGAGAGAAAGAAAGCGAAAAACGAAGGAAAGACGGAGGCACAAAAAAAGGGAAGAGAGAAAAAAAATAAAAAACCAAGAGAGGAAGAAAAGAAGAGGAGGAGGAAAGAGAACGCAAAGAAGAAGGAAAGAAAGGAAAGAGGAAGAGAAAGGAAAAGAAGGAGAAGAAAAGGAGGAAGGAAGGAATCCAGACCAGTGGGAATGACCAGTCAGTAAACCCTGCCTCCCCTCCCACCGCAGCGACGCACTCCTAGTATTCACAGCTAGAACACAGTGCCCTTGGGAGAAGGAACTCGGTCTAGTCATCTTTCCAAGAACTCCCTGCTTTGCTGAAAATAGATGTTGCATTTGTTTACCAGGGCAGCTGTAACAAAGTGCTACAAATTGAGTGTCTCAGAGCAATAGAACGTTCTCCCACAGTTCTAGAGGCCAGAAGTCTGAAATTAAAGTGTGGACGCTGCCACACTCCACCAATGCCTCTTTTGCCTCCGGCAGCTCCTGGTGGCTCCAGGTGTTCCAAGGCCTGTGGCTACGTCACTCCAGTCACCTCTGCCTCTTCCAGTCTCTGCCACTGTCTTCACGTGGTCCCCTCTCTGTGTGTCCCTCCCTCTTCTGTCTCTTAGCAGGACACCAGTCGTGGGATTTAGAGCCCACCCTAACCCAGAATGACTCGACTTTAGCTAATAACACCTACAAAGATGGTCTTTCCAAATAAGGAAATACCAGCCGGGCACCTGTAATCCCAGCACTTTGGGAGGCTGAGGCGGGCAGATCACTTGAGGTCAGGAGTTGAGACCATCCTGGCCAACATGGTAAAACCCTGTCTCTACTGAAAATACAAAAATTATCTGGGCATGGTGGTGCGTGCCTGTAGTCCCAGCTACTTGGGAGGCTGAGGCAGGAGAATCGCTTGAACCCGGAGGCAGCAGTTGCAGTGAGCTGAGATCACACCACTGCACTCCAGCCTGGGCAACAGAGCAAAACTCTGTCTCAAGCAAAACAAAACAAAACAAAAAAACACCAAATAAGGAAATATCTTGACAGGTTCCCAGGGTTAGGATTTGGACATGGCTTTTTAAAATTTATTTTTATTTATTTATTTTTTAATGTCATGGTGGGGGTCACCTTTATTTGGCACTGCAGATGCTAAGTGTTTTACATAACACAATTTTCAGAATTCCAGCTAGTCAGGGGGACTCTGGGGGCCAGCCTGCAGGCCCATGCCCCACCTCTCCCATCCTGCCATCCCAAGGATCCAGACACCTCCTTCTCACAGCTGTGCTCAGGCACCATCAGCGGATCCTTGGAGTGCTGGGTTGATCTCCCCAAAAGAGGTGGAATCCAGTTCCCTGTAAAACCTGCATCTCAGAAAGGGCTCTATGTATTAACCTGCAAGTTGGGGTCCCTGTCCCTGAAGGCCCCCTGGTCCCCAACTTTGGTGGCCACAGTGGGCCTAGAAAAAGAAAAACCTGGCCAGGCGTGGTGGGTCACACCTGTAATCCCAGCACTTTGGGAGGTCAAGGTGGGTGGATCACAGGTCAGGCGTTCGAGACCACCCTGGCCAATATGGTGACACCCCATCTCTACTAAAAATACAAAAATTAGCCGGGCCCCTGTACTCTCAGCTACTCAGGAGGCTGAGGCAGGAGAATCGCTTGAACCAGGAAGTGGAGGTTGCAGTGAGCCGAGATTGCACCATTGCACTCCAGCCTGGGCAACAGAGCAAGACTGTCTCAAAAAAAAAAAAAACAACCACAAAAAACCCCTGTGTTTCCCTCAGGTGGGTGATTCATTCTGCAACTCTAGAAGGGTGAACACAGCAGAGGAAGAAAAAGCATGGGGCCGAGAGCTTGTACGAACTGCATCTATGCCAGAATGCAGAACCGTAAACTGGGCTGTCTCCACCTGGGCTGGATAGATTAAAGCTGAGGAAAATCAAAAGGAAGTTGCCCATGTGCCAATCCAGGCAGGAAGCTGCCTTTGCAGAACACCAGTGAGGCTGCAAAACCTGTTTTGCCAGCACCCATATTACCAACCACTTTACCAACCCTGAATGGCTCCCTATGTACTGACAAGAAGCTATCTATGTACAGACAAGGAAACATCTCCAAGAAATACTAAGTGAAACTAGCAGGGTGGAACTGTGTGTACTACGGGGCCATTTGGATGAAAGAGGGGGGAATCTATATCCATATGAATAACAGTGGCCCCCTTGATGGGGGCCAGGGGAACTGGGAGGATGCAAAGGAAGAGGAGCGAGCATTTCACTGAAAAGCCTTGTGTGGTTTTTGTTTTTGTTTTTTTGAGACAGTCTCGCTCTGTCGCCCAAGCTGGAGTCCACTGGCGCAATCTTGGCTCACTGCAACCTCCGCCTCTGGGGTTCAAGTGATTCTCCTGTCTCCGTCTTCCAAGCAGCTGGGATTACAGGTGTGGGCCACCACACCCGTCTTATTATTATTATTAGTTTTTTGAGGCAGAGCTTTGCTCTTGTCACAGGCTAGAGTGCAACGGCGCAATCTCTGCTTCCTGGGTTCAAGTGATTCTCCTGCCACAGCATCCCAAGTAGCTGGGATTACAGGCACCTGCCACCATGCACAGCTTATTTATTTATTTATTTTTGTATTTTTAGTAGAGACGGGGTTTCACCATGTTGGCCAGGTTGGTCTCGAACTCCTGACCTTGAATGATATCCCTGCCTTGGCCTCCCAAAGTGCCGGGATTATAGGTGTGAGCCAGTGCACCTGGTCTGAGCTAATTTTTGTATTTCTAGGAGAGACGGGGTTTCACAGTGTTGGCCAGTCTGGTTTCGAACTCCTGAATTCACTTTTTATTTTTGAGACACAGTTTCACTCTGTCACACAGGCTGGAGTGTAGTGGTGCAATCTCGGCTCACTGCAGCCTTAACCTCCTAGGTTCAGATAAGCTTCCCACCTCAGCCACCAGAGTAGCTAAAAATACAGGCGTGTGCCACCACGCCTGGCTAATTTTTGTTATTTTTTGTAGAGACAGGGTTTCGCCATGTTGCCCAGGCTGTTCTTGAACTCCAGGGCTCAAGTGATCCTCCCACCTTAGCCTCCCAAGTAGATGGGACGACAGGCAAGCACCACCACACCCAGTTAATTTTTATTTTTTTTTGTAGAGACCAGGTCTTGCTATGTTGCCCAGCTGGTTTCGAACTCCTGGGCTCAAGCTGTCCTCCTGCTTTCATTTCCCAAAGTCTGGGATTACAAGGCATGTGCCACCAGACTTGGCCCCCTCTCTTTCTCAAACCACATCTGATCATCAGGAAATCCTTGGACACCCCCTCCACTGTGTGTCCTGGGTCTAGAGTCTCCTCCCCACCTGCACTGAGACCACTCTGCTTGGATCCCCTTTGCCCTGTTCCTCGGAAGGCAGCAGCCACCCCTCTAGGTTCTTCCAGCTTCTACCCAGATTCCCTACAGCCACAAGCGTGTGCTGGTTATAACAAGCTCACATCCATCCTGGGCTCCTGTCTGAGTCAGCCTGGGCGGCTATAACAAAATACCACAGACTGGGAAGACTTAATGGAAATTTTATTTTCTCACAGTTCTGCAAACTGGAAGTCCAAGCTCAAGGTGCCAGCAGGGCTGCAGACCTGCCACCAATCCTTTGCTGAAAGGCATCTGGGCTGTCTCCCAGGCCATGCTACCACAAACGCCCCTGCTGTGAATAGCCTTGTACACCCAGTACCACAGCACTTGCAAGCATCTGTAGGACGCCCTCTCAGGGGTAGAATTCTGGGTCAAAAGGCAGATGCATTTGTCACCATGAGGCCATTGCCAGCTGCCATCCATGCGGGTTTGCCAACAACCCTGCCCCAGCACAGTGTGAAGACAATGCGCCCCACAGGCTCATCGGCGTGGCTTCATCAGAAGGTCGTGATTTAATTAACACAGGAGTTCTTAAGCCTATAAATGGACTAGATTAATGTTGTGTTACAGTTAAGAAAAACATCATGAAATGTATGTTCTAAGTGGAATGGCAATTAAAACCAAGCGGCTGTAGGTGTTCATTATCATGCATAAGCCTCCCTCAGGTATTAACTAACCTCAAGAAAGAGAAATTGCCTCTCTCTAGGAGAGGGCAGCTGGGGTGCAGAGCCAGAGAATGAGTGACTCATGCCCCCCACAGAGGGCCCTCCAGGCCCTGAACCCCAGGGCAAGAACACAGGAGGGCTTCAGCAAGACACCCCAGAACAAACCTTATGGCAAACTTCCTTTCTTATTAAAGCAAAAGCTTCGTTGCTATTATTTACAACTCAGGCTATATGGAAATGGTGCTATGAATAGGCATGTAAAAGTGCTTGTTTGAGTACCCGTTTTCAATTGTTTCGGGTTAGAAATAATTTCTGTTTCTTTTTTTTTTTTTTCAGATGGAGTTTCATTCTTTGTTGCCTAGGCTGGAGTGCAATGGTGCAGTCTTGACTCACTGCAACCTCCCACACCTGGGTTCAAGCTATTCTCCTACTTCAGCCTCCCCAGTGGCTGGGATTGCAGGCATGTGCCACTACTCGTGGCTAATTTTTGTATTTTCAGTAGAGAAGGGGTTTTGTCATGTTGGTCAGGCTGGTCTCAAACTCCTGACCTCAAGTGATCTGCCCACCATGGCCTCCCAAAGTGCTGGGATTACAGGCATGAGCCACGGAGCCCAGCCTGGGTTAGAAATAATTTCTAATGTTGTGCATGGTATTAAAAACAGGACTGCAAGGCTGGGCGCGGTAGCTCTTGCCTGTAATCCCAGCACTTTGGGAGGCTGAGGTGGGAGGATCACCTGAGGTCGGGAGTTCGAGACCAGCCTGATCAACATGGAGAAACCCAATCTCTACTAAAAATGCAAAATTAGGCCAGGGGCGGTGGCTCAAGCCTGTAATCCCAGCACTGTGGGAGGCTGAGACGGGCGGATCACAAGGTCAGGAGATCGAGAGCATCCTGGCTAACATGGTGAAACCCGTCTCTACTAAAAAATACCAAAAAACTAGCCAGGCGAGGGAGGCTGAGGCAGGAGAATGGCGCAAACCCGGGAGGCGGAGCTTGCAGTGAGCTGCGATCCGGCCACTGCACTCCAGCCTGGGCAAGAGAGCGAGACTCTGTCTCAAAGAAAAAAAAAAAAATACAAAATTAGCCGGACGTGGTGGCACATGCCCTTAATCCCAGCTACTTGGGAGACTGAGGCAGAATTGCTTGAACCAAGGAGGCGAAGGTTGCAGTGAGCTGAGATCGCTCCATTGCACTCCAGTCTGGGAAACAAGAGTGAAACTCCGCCAAAAAAAAAAACCAAAAAACCAAAACAAAACCAGGACTGCAGGGCCGCACATGGCAGCTCATGCCTGTAGTCCCAGCACTTTGGGAGGTCGAGGTGGGCAGATCACCTGAGGCCAGGAGTTCGAGACCAGCCTGGCCAACACAGTGAAACCCTGTCTCTACTAAAAATACAAAAATTAGCCGGGAATGGTGGTGCACATCTGTAATCCCAGCGATTCAGGAAGCTGAGGCACAATAATTGCTTGAACCCGGGAGGCGAAGGTTGCAGTGAGATGAGACAGCACCACTGCCCTCCAGCTTGGGCAACAGAGTGAGACTCTGTCTCGAAAGAAAAAAAAGAAACTGTCCCCTTTAAACACTCACTCCCCATTCCTCCCTCCCCTTGCCCCTAGCAACCACCATTCCATTTCTTGTCTTTATTAATTTGACTTCTCTAGGGACCTCATTTAAATGAAATCATACAGAATTTAACTTTTGTATCTGGATAAAAAATATATACAGCATTTTGCTGACTGTAAAATGTGTTTTTTTGGGCCGGGCGCGGTGGCTCACACCTGTAATCCCAGCATTTTGGGAGGCCGAGGCACGTGGATCACCTGATGTCAGGAGTTCGAGACCAGCCTGACCAACATGGACAAACCCCGTCTCTACTAAAAATAAAAAATTAGCTGGGCATGGTGGCATGTGCCTGTAATCCCAGCTACTCAGGAGGCTGAGGCAGAAGAATCGCTTGAACCCGGGAGGCGGAGGTTACGGTGAGCCGAGTTTGCACCACTGCACTCCAGCCTGGGCAACAAGAGCGAAACTCTATCTTAAAAATAAAAAAAGTATTTTTAATAAAGGTCACAGTAAAACTAATTTAAAAGTTAGTGGTAAAGGAAATGGTTCTTAAACCCCTTCTCTGCCAGCCTACTGCACCCTGGCCACACTCACACAGCGGTCAGACTTTTTTCTCCCTGAGTCCAGACGAGAGAGGCCAGGCCTTGACGGGGATGAGGCTGTCTACCCATTACAAGCGAACAATCCTCATTGCAAGTTAATAGGCTGGCATTGTAAGGACGAATACAAATCAAAAATGAGAAAAAAACATAATTCCCCCTGGTGCAAAGAAGGAAAAGCGTGGCCAGACACGGTGGCTCACACCTATAATGCCAGCACTTTGGGAGGCGGGCAGATCACTTGAGGCCAGGAGTCCCAAACCAGCCTGGCCAACATGGCGAAACCCGTCTCTACTAAAAATACAAAATTAGCTGGCGTGGTGGCACGCGCCTGTAATTCCAGCTACTCAGGAGGCTTGAGACACACGAATGTAAGACACAAGAATGGCTTGAACCCAGGAGGCAGAGGTTGCAATAAGCCAAAATCACGCCACTGCACTCCAGCCTGGGTGAGAGAGCAAGGCCTTGTCTCAAAGAAAAAACAAACAAAAAACCCAGTACATAAAGAAATATGCAGCCTTGAACTCCTAGGCAGCAGTCATCCTCCTACCTCAGCCTCTCAAGTAGGTGGAAGTACAGGTGCACACTACTGCACCCTGCTAATTTAAAAAAAAATTTTTTTTTTTTTGAGATGGAGTCTAGCTCTGTCGCCCAGGCTGGAGTGTAGTGGCACCATCTCAGCTCACTGCAAGTTCCTCCCGGGTTCAAGACATTCTCCTGCCTCAGCCTCCTCGAGTAGCTGCCGGGAATATAAGCGGCGCCCACACCGACACTTTGGCTAATTTTTTGCTTATTTTTTAGTAGAGACGGGGGTTTTCATCGTGTGGAGCCAGGGATTGTGCTTAGATCGTCCTGACCTTTGTGATCCGGCGCCCACCTCAGCAAAGTGCTGGTGATTTACAGGGGTGTAAGCAGCCACACCGCAGCCTTTAAGATTTTTTTGTAGGAGGCAGGTTTCTTGCGTATGTTGCCAGGCTGGTCTCAACTCCTGGCTCAAAATCCTCGTGCCTTGACCTCCACACAGTACTGGGATTTATAGGCGTGTGTGACAGTTCCTGGTCTCTCTCTCTCTCTCTTTTTTTTTTTTTTTGAGAAACGGAGGTCTTGCTCTGTCGGCCCAGGCCTGGAGTGCGGTGGCGCGATCTCGGCTCCACTGCAAGCTCCGCCTCCAGGTTCACGCGCCATTCTCCTGCTTCAGCCCTCCCGAGTAGCTGGGACCACAGGCGCCCCGCTGCACGCCCGGCTAATTTTTTGTATTTTTTAGTAGAGACGGGGTTTCACCGGTGGTCTCGATTCTCCTGACCTCGTGATCCACCCGGCCTCAGCCTCCCAAAGCGCTGGGATTATAGGCGTGAGCCAGCGCGCCCGGCTCTCTCTTTTAAATCTTTTCCTTTTATTTTCCTTTCAATCATATGACTTGAAGGTTTAATAGTGTGTGCTTTTTATGTCTGACTTCCTTTCTCATTAGGGTCAGCTCTTTGTCACTCAAGACAATGAAGACTGGCAAAAAGGTTTGCTTACAGCACTTGCATGTTTTACCACACTCATATATTTATCGAGGAAATAGAGATGAATTTGGAACAGAGCTGGGCATAGCAAGGAACCATGAAGAGCCTAGGAAACAGTACCACCCCAATCTATTGAGACAGAAGGATGGTGGAACATGCTGGAATACACTTCTAACAAGTGTCTTCTTCCTCCTGGGTTCTCTCTGTTTAGAAAACCGCCAAGCCCAGGAGCCCAGGCAGCTGCCTCTGAAAGGCTGTGTTGGGCCTGCTGCAACAGAGCCAATTTGCCAGGCATGGCTGGCTGCTTCCTCACCCATGCTTCCTCCTTGGGGCCTGCTCCCCATCCCAGCACAGATGCATTACCAGGTATTCAAATCGTGGTACAGCACTTTGCAGATACAGGGTAGAGACAGAAATGGACCTTAAGACTTCACTAGTTTACAGGTTCCTAAGTCCAGATTTCTTTAAAGAAAGAAAAGGTGAAAGGCCAGGCACGGTGGCTCACACATGTAATCCCAGCTCTTTGGGAGGCCAAGGCAGGCAGATGACCTGAGGTTGGGAGTTTGAGACCAGCCTGACCAACATGATGAAACCCCGTCTCTACTAAAAATACAAAATTAGCCAGGCTTAGTGGCACTGTAATCCCAGCTACTTGGGAGGCTGAGGCAGGAGAATTGCTTGAACCCAGGAGGTGGAGGTTGCGGTGAGCGGAGATTGCACCTTAGGACTCCAGCCTGGGCAGCAAGAGGAAAACTGTCTCAAATTTAAAAAAAATCCGGGCATGGTGGCTCACGCCTGTAATCCCATCACTTTGGGAGGGCGAGGTGGCCAGATCACGAGGTCAAGAGATGAAGACCATCCTGGCCAACATGATGAAACCCCATCTCTACTAAAAACACAAAAATTAGCTGGGCGGGTGGGGTGCGCCTGTAGTCCCAGCTACTCAGGAGGTTGAGGAAGGAGAATCACTTGAACTCAGGAAGCAGAGGTTGCAGTGAGCTGAGATCACGCCACTGCACTCCAGCCTGGGCAAACAGAGCAAGACTCAGTCACCATTGCTTCTTTTTTTTTTGAGACAGGGTCTCACTCGTTACCCAGGCTGGCATGCAGTGATGCAATCTCAGCTCACTGCAACCTCTGCCTCCCAGGTTCAAGCAATTCTCATGCCTCAGGTTCCCGAGTAGCTGGAATTACAGGTGTCCAGCTAATTCTTGTATTTTTTTGTAGAGATGGGGTTTTGCCATGTTGGCCAGGCTGGTCTCGAACTCCCGGCCTCAAGTGATATACCTGCCTTGGCCTCCCACAGTATTGCTTTCTATGAATAGTGACTGCATTCCACATCCAGCTGCAGAGGAGGAACGTTCCTCTGTTCACTTCACCTCCCTATGGCAATCACAGCCCACAGCCTTACGGGCCTAGGCATGGTTGGCTGAGCAGGAAAGGCCAGGCATGGTGGACTGAGCCATGGACCTCCCCTGGACCTCTCCTGCCTCCAGCAGTCCCTGCAGCAAGGAGTCCTGGGTACCTGCCCCTGAGCAGAGAGGTTTATAAAGTGCCTGGTGTTTGGGAAATGCCCCTCGAGACCCAGGTGGTGTGGCGCAGCACCCCCAACCCCCAGCATTCTGAACCACTGCCACATGCTAAAGGCCACCCAATGCAGTCACGGAGCGGTCACACCAGTACCTTCGATTCCTATCTGTGAGTAGGTCCTCAAGGCTTCCTCTGCTCCCAGTCGGACAACCCATTGGCTGGGACAGTACTGATTCTCCAGATCCTGCAGGACACAAACATGAGGCTCTGTAACGCTTTCCTTCTCAACAGAGCATGCCCCTCCCCCTCGCCCATGCCCGGCTGCTCCTCTCTGCCTTAGAAGCCCCCTCCCCAGTATTCCAGGGTCTCCAGGATACACTTGGATCCATGGTCTAGAGGTATACCAGCGACCGCTGTGCCTTTAGCCAGCTGGCAGCCTTAAGGGGATATGAGGTCCCCCAAACGAATCCAGTTAATGCCATCATGGGCACCACTCCCACAGCAGTTATGACCACGGGAGGCCAGGTGGCCCGATGGTTCACACCTGTAATCCCAGCACTTTGGGAGGCCGAGGTGGGTGGATCACCTGAAGTCAGGAGTTTGAGACCAGCCTAGCCAACATGGCAAAACGCCGTCTCTACTGAAAATACAAAAATTAGCTGAGCGCGGTGGCGGACGCTTGTAATCTCAGCTACTCGGGAGGCTGAGGCAGGAGAATCGATGGAACCTGGGAGGCGGAAGTTGCAGTGAGTGAGCTGAGATCCCACCATTGCACTCTAGCCCGGGTAACAACAGCGAGACTCCATCTCAAAAATAAAAAAAAAAGTAACAAGGAACCAGATTTTGAAGAAAGGGCTCAAAGCCATCATGAGAAATGGGAAGCCAGGGCGGCCTCACGGAAAAGCCTGAGGTCAAATGCCATCTGACCTCCCTCATTTACTTACTGTTTCATCCTGAACAAGTTACTTAGTCTCTGGGATTCAGTTCCCTTACTGGTAGAAGGCATCTATCCAGGCCGGACACGGTGGCTCACGCCTGTAATCCCAGCACTTTGGGAGGCTGAGGCAGGCAGATCACAAGGTCAGGAGATCGAGACCATCCTGGCTAACACAGTTATACCCCCATCTCTACTAAAATTACAAAAAAAATAGCCGGGTGTGGTTGTGGGTGCCTGTAGTCCCAGCTACTCGGGAGGCTGAGGCAGGAGAATCGCTCGAACCTGGGGGGTGGAAGTTGTAGTGAGCCGAGATTGCGCCACTGCACTCCAGCCTGGGTGACAGAGCGAGACTCTGTCTCAAAAAAAAAAAAACCAAAACCAAAAATTAGCCAGGCATGTAGTCCCAGCTACAGTGTGCCTGTAATCCCAGCTACTCGGGAGGCTGAGGCAGGAGAAACACTTGAACCCGAGAGGTAGAGGTTGCAGTGAGCCAAGATCATGCCACTGCACTCCAGCCTGGGTGACAAAACGAGACTGTGTCTAAAAAAAAAAAAAAAAAGAAAATAGAAGGCATCTATCCAAATCACAAGGTTAAAAGAGATAAGGCATGTGAGTGAAATAAGTGAAATAAAGCGAGTCACTCAATGTAGGTTTCTTCTTCCTCCCAGTGAAGGGGCCCCTGTAAGAGATCCTTGGATCTGTCCAATCGGTACCTGGAAAGGTTATTACCTGTAGGATCCTTACAGCCACACATGGCACACTCTGTGATCACTACCACCATCTTTGTTGCTATTATTTATGATCATGATTATATAATGGTTTTGTTTTTTTGAGCCACCGCACCGGGCCTGTATGTTTCTAACCTTCACAACAACCCCAATGTAAATACCAGCTGTTTTGAATCCTTCAGCCTGTGCCACATAAGCAGAGACCCAAAAACATTGTGTAACCTCAGTTCAAGGTCCAGAACTTTGGCCCCTAACCTCCTGCGGGTCTATGGAATTTTTTTTTTTTTTTTGAGACGAAGTCTTGGTTTATCACCCAGACTTCCAGGCTGGAGTGCAATGGCATGATCTCGGCTCACTGCAACCTCCACCTCCTGGGTTTAAGCGATTCTTCTGTCTCAGCCTCCCCAGTAGCTGGGATTACAGACATACATCACCACGCCCGGCTAATTTTTGTATTTTTAGTATAGACGGGATTTCACCATGTTGGCCAGGCTGGTCTTGAATTCCTGACCTCAAAGTGCTGGGATTACAGGTTTGAGCTACCACGCCCGGCAGGGCCTACGGATGTTAGCATAGCCAGGACTTCAATTTTCTCTATTCTGAGAGTCAGGCCAACAGAGGAGAAGGTAAAATCACCACGGTGCTCAAGCACTGGGGGCCTGGCACACACCAGGCGCCCAGCATGCCCACAGGAGTGGTCTGCACGGCTTCTAAGCTTCCTTCTTAGAACTCCAATCTGATCAATGAGCTAACTCTGCCCCAGCCCCTCAGTCCCTCCCTGCAATCCGTCTACCTCTGCAGACATCTTCTTCCAAGGAACCTCGCCTGGGAGACCCACATCTGAGATAGCCATCGCGGCGTCTAGAGCCGACGTGCGTGTCGCTTCTTTATACTGCCAGAGCCCCGCCTCGCTTGGCCTTTAAATTTAGTGGGCGGAGAGAGGCGGGGCTCAGGCCAGGCCACATCCCGATCAGCCACGTCCATCCCCCTGATTACTGGGCCCTCCCAGTCCCTGGGCGCACTTCCCGGATCCCTCCCACGAGGGGGCGGGCTGTGGTCAAATCTCCCGCCAGGTCGGCGGCCGGGCGCTGATTGGCCCCAAGGCAGCGGGACCGACTCGTGATTGGCCAGCACGCCGTGGTTTAAAGCGGGTGGCGCGGGAACCAGGGACTTACTGCGGGACCGCGGTGGAGAACCCTTGGATCCGTGAACTTCCCGGAGGCGCCATGAGTTGCATTAACCTGCCCACCGTGCTGCCCGGCTCCCCCAGCAAGACCCGGGGGCAGATCCAGGTGCGGGGGTCAGCCCTGAGCGTGACTGGGGATGAGGGGGTCGTGGTGATAGCCTGTGCCCCGGCATCCGCGCAGGGCGGGCCCCCAAATGACCTCATCTTCTCTCCTAGGTGATTCTCGGGCCGATGTTCTCAGGAAAAAGGTAATGGCTTCGCGGGGCTGGGGTGGATCTCCTCCTTCTTCTCCGGGGACCCCTGTCCCTTCCCTTCCCCTAGAAGGACCAGCACAGCTTCCTACAGCTCCCGCCCGGGATTCTCCTCCTCCCTTGAATTCGGTCCAGGAGGAAGTCTCCGCCCCCTTCTGCCCCGGCCAAGCCCCTTCTCCTGTGTGGACGCCACTCCCTCCTGGAGCTGGTCACAGCTGGTTACAGCTTAGCACTCCTCCCCACCGAGTCCTCTGAGAAGGTGGCAACCAGTTGTGTCCACTGTGGGCCAGGCCTTTTTGTACACCCCTATTCAATGTGGCTGTTTCCTTATAAGGCCAAGGAAACGCAGTCGCTTTCTGCACCAAGGAGTCTGAAGCCGTGGAGCCTCTGCTCCCCTGAGGTGACAGAACCATTCCCTGACCCAGGTGGGGCTAGTTAGTGAGTTTCCTGAGTAAACTACCCACCCACCATTCTTTTTGTTTTGTTTTGTTCTTGTAGAGATAGGATCTTGCTTTGTTGCCCAGGCTGGTCTCAAACTCCTGGGCTCAAGCAGTTCTCTCACCTCAGCCTCCCAAGTAGCTGGGACTACAGGCGTGCACCCCCTACCCAGCTAATTTTATTTTATTTTTGTAGAGCTGGGGTCTTGCTATGTTGCCCAAGCCAGTCTTGAACTCTTGGTCTCAAGCGATCCTCCTACTTCGGCCTCCCAAAGTGCTGGGATTACAGACGTTAGCCACCATGCCCTGCCCCAACATTATTTTATGGCCCTGGGGATCACTTCAGCTCAAACTCCTTGCTCAGGATGATGAGGCTCAGATTTGGACTTCTTGGATGCAGAAGCAACTGCTTTTGACACTGCACACAAAGGCTTTCTGAAATTAATTTAGAGAAGCTCTATGCCGGGCGCGGTGGCCCACGCCTTTAATCTCAGCACTTTGGATTGCTGAGGTGCGTTGATCACTTGAGGTTAGGAGTTTGAGACCACCCTGGTCAATATGGTGAAACCACATCTCTACTGAAAAAAAATACAAAAATTATCTGGGCATGGTGGGAGGCTCCTGTAATCCCAGCTACTCGGGAGGTTGAGGCAGGAGAATCTCTTGAACCCGGAAGGCAGGGGTTGCAGTGAGCTGAGATTGCGCTAATGCACTCTAACCTAGGCCACATAGCGAGACTCTATCTCAAAAAAAAGAAAGAAAAGAAAAAAGAAAAGCTCTGAACTCTGGGAACAACTCTGGAATGAGGTTACTTTGGAATGCAGTCGCAGGTCCCCCTCTACATGTAGCCTTTGCCTCTGCCTTCCCCATTACATCCTGGAGAAGGTTACTCCTCCCACACTTCCTGGGACCACCTGAGTACCATTCCTGGACCTCTTCCCCATAGAGAATTCTGACTTCCAACCCTCTTTGTAGGGATATTACACCCTGCCTGCTCTGCCCTGCTCTTTTCCGGCTGTGGTGGGCTCAGTCTGCAGAACACTAGGGGCTATGAGGAGCCAGGCTTACTGGGGAGGGTTCTCCTCCCACTCCTCCTGCTGTGGACCTCACCTGACCCTCTCTCCTCTTGCAGCACAGAGTTGATGAGACGTGTCCGTCGCTTCCAGGTTGCTCAATACAAGTGCCTGGTGATCAAGTATGCCAAAGACACTCGCTACAGCAGCAGCTTCTGCACACATGACCGGTCAGTCCCTGCCCCTTGCAGTCCTGTCCAGTGGAAAATCACAAGGCACAGGACACACTGTTAGAACTGTCTTTAGTGGGAATGGTTAATCACGCTGACCTGGCATTGAACGATTCAAATCAGCACACTTTCCAAGGTGCTTGGCAAGGCAGCGCACACTCTCCATTCCCTGGGCTGGAGCCAGTGGTTCTCCACTGCGGGTGATTTTGCCCCCAGGGTCCATTTGACAATGTCTGAAGACGTTTCTAGTTGTTGCAACCGGAGAGGGGAGGGGATGCTACTGGGCTTTAATGTGTAGAGATCAGGGACACTGCTGCTAAGGGTCCTGCAGTGCACAGGACGGCCCCCATGCAAGAATGAGCTGACCCCGAATGTCACGAACCTGCCAACGTTCAGAAACTCTGCTGTAGGGATTCAGCTTCACACAGGCTGCAAACTGGTTTGATTTGGCCTGCACACAGATTTTTGTTTAATTTTTTAGTTGTCCATTGTTGGCTGGGTCCTGGTCACCTGGCAGCCTTCACGCTGCCTCTTTTTATGTGTAGCTATTTGAGATCGCTGGACATTTCCACCTGCAACCTCAGGTTGGGAGTTAAATTCACTTCCTTGGCAGCAGATGTGGGCCTGGTGTTTCTAAGCCTGAGACGCTTTGCTTGGTCCTCTGGACTTGTCCACCTGGGCACCCAGTGGCAAAGCCATGCTGTGCCACACATTATAGAGCTTGCGGCCACAGAGCCCTTGCTGGGAGCTGTATCTGAGAGTTGCTACAGCTGTGCAGAGAATGCATCCACCCGGCATGTGGCCTTCGGTGGGAGCTGAGGGGCTCCTGAAGCCAGACGGTGGTGGAGTGGAGGGTGCTTGGGGCTTGGAGTTGCGTGTGGGGATTTAACCGTACTTCCTGGCCGTGCTGTCTGATGTAGGTCATTTACTTTTCCAAATTTGCTTCCTCATTCCTAAGATGCGATGTCCACAGCACAGGGTGGTGTTACACCTGGCGGGGACAGGGAAAGCAGAGGAGGTCACTCCGTTCCAGCTGCTGGAAGTGCAGCTTCTGGAGTCAGTCAGATCCAGGATTAAATATGAGCTCTGCCTGTGTGTCACAAGTCATTTCTAACACAGAGATGGTCACAGAGGCCAAGGCCAAGTCTGGGCCAGCAGCATTGACAGCTCCAGAGAGGCTGCCCTTGCAGGGCCCACAGCTGGCCTCCCACCTGCCCTCACATTGTCTTTCTCTGTTTAGGGAGGGAAGAGGGAATTTAAAATGCACAAAATACTATTTCACACATTTTTTCCAGAACTCGAAGTAGGATTATAGCAAGATAATCACGAAACAATAGTTGTCAAATGTTGTTTTTTTGTTAGTTTGTTGTTTGTTTTTGAGACAGGGTCTCTCTCTATCACGCAGGCTGGAGTGCAGTGGTTCAATCATAGCTTACTGTTATGTGACCCCAAACCCTTGGGCTCAAGTGATCCTCCCACCTCAGCCCCTGAGTAGGCGGGACTACAGGTGCACACCACCACACACAGCTGATTTTTAGATTTTTTGTCGCATAGTGTCTCGCTGGCCTCGACCCAGGCTGGTCTTGAACTCCTGGGTTCAAATGATCCTCCCATCTTGGCCTCCCCGAAGTGCTAAGATTACAGGCATGAGCTGCTGTGTCTGGCCAGAATACAGGATTTTAAAAATTTATATTTTGTAACATAATTGATATAAAGACAAATATAACCCAGGCCCAGTTCTAGTTATTCATTCTTCTGAATTTTAAAAGGAAACTTGGCTGACCCCTAATGGTATCATGGGCCCTGGTGACTGATGAAGTTGGCCTTGTCTGCCGAAACAGTGGAAGAGTTTTTAGTCTCGTTGAGCTTTGTACTGGACATTACTAATTTCTAATCCAAAACATCAAGTGAAGTGGCTTGTATAAATAACTGGTTTTCCTCTGGGAGGTTAAGGCGGGTGGATCACTTAAAAGTTAGGAGTTTGAGACCAGCCTGGCCAACATGGTGAAACTCCATCTCTGCTAAAAATGCAAAAAGTAGCTGGGTGTGATGGTGTGTGCCTGTAGTCCCAGCTACTCTTGAGGCTGAGGTGGGAGAATCACTTGAGCCCCTTGAGAATTGGGAGGTGGAGATAGCAGCGAGCCGAGATGGCGCCACTGCACTCCAGCCTGGGCGACAGAGCAAGACTCTGTCTCAAAAAAAAAATAAATAACTGGTTTTCTGAACGAGGGCCTTTCCCATAGGTGCTAACTTCTCAAAGCCCGGCTGGGTGAACACTGAGCCTGCTTTGCAGGTAGCGAGTGGTCGCGACAGTGCCATTCCCTGGCCTCTGCATTCTGGCTTCTGGCCTCCCTGTGCCTGCTCACGCTCTGGCTTTCTCTTCCCAGGAACACCATGGAGGCGCTGCCCGCCTGCCTGCTCCGAGACGCGGCCCAGGAGGCCCTGGGCGTGGCTGTCATAGGCATCGACGAGGGGCAGTTTGTAAGTCGGCTTGTCCTGGTATCACTCTTCCTGACAGCTCCCGCTCTGTCCTCTGTTTTCCGCCACTGACTTGGAGGTTATCTGATCTTTTAGTAAAACAACAAGGTTAAATAGCTACAACCAGTGTTGGAATACCCTCTGAAGGCCCCCTTCTAGTTTCCCTGTCATAGTCATGTAGGATTCATTTTACCTTTTTTTTTTTGAGATGGAGTTTCACTCTTGTTGCCCAGGCTGGAGGGCAATGGCGCCATCTCACTGCAAACTTCGCTTTCCGGGTTCAAGCAATTCTGTCTTGTCTCGGCCTCCCAA